AATATGCAAAAAAATCATATATAAACTTCTATGCACCCTAAAATTGAACGGACCGAAAACAAAATCATATATAAACTTCCAACCTATTTATATGTATATTAGAGAGCGATGCCGCGCCTTGTTGCGAGGTGGAGATGGCCTATGGGCAATGTATTATATGATCCGTTATAGTGTTTTGTTAGTATTATTAGCCTAAAATTAAATTTTTATTAGCAGTTTTGTTAGTAATTTTCATTTGACAATATGATATTGACTGAGAAGAGATAAATGGCGGTCAACATCCAATTTACAATTTTTTGAATTTTTTGGCTAATAAATGATATTTACCTAAACCCAAGTAGATTCATTGATTATGCGTAGGGTATGAGTGACGTATATATGGTTTGGAAGTTTGTAGATCGGTTTGGGTAGGGTATGGTATTTACTTCCATAATCTAAATGTGTATGAGTTGGGGATGGATACCATTATTCGAGGGTGTTTTGATTACACATACAAAACTTAGACCTATTTGTAGAACTTCAAAAGTTTAGGAACCAAAATATCATACACAAAAATTTTAGGTACTAAAATGTAATGTTCCATCAATATTTTGAGGACTTATTGCCAAAAAAAAATATTTTGAGGACTTATGTACCAAAAAATAATTATAGGTTATAAATTTAAGATCTTTTAAATTTAGGTACCGAACTGTAATTTGCATAGTAGAGGCTTAATTCCTTTTATGATGATGTATTTAAAATGATAATTATTTACCTTTTTATAGAAAAATGGAAACTATTATTTGATATGTGCAAATACCTAGCCAAACATTTCATGTATAATCGTTGATAATTCTAGCCCGGGTGAAAAAGAAAAACGCTAGAGAGAAGTAAAAGGATACAAACTGGAACTCGCTTAAAGTATCACACCTTCAAATCCCATAATGGAAAATGATGACTTTCTAATAAGTAATAACCATATATATTTATTTTTAATTGACATCGACATTGAGCTGAAAAAGTTAGCGGTTCATGATTCAATTATCAACTGTTGGTGAGTCGTGTAGGGACCTTTTCATACTTGTGATTAGAATACATAAAAATTGTATACTAATTAGGGTTAGACGAAGAAGGCAAAGAAAGAAATAAAGAAAGGTTTATGGAAGGCGAGTGAAAAATGAAATAAAGAGTAAGTAGATGATGGAAAAGTTTTGACCAATTCTTATAGTAGGCCGTCAATACAACAGTCAACCATTTTCACCGTAGCAATTTATTGACACTTGTTTATGTAGATGTCGCATATTTTGTTACATATAGTTAGTAGAAGTTTGAAAAGTATCCCGTAAATGTACTAAATGAGTTTATAAAATTGCTCTTGCAATATTTTAGAGTCGTCTATCTTTTATCACTTGTTTAATGTTTCACGTAATGAGCAAATATAAAATGGTATGAGATACATGGTACAAACTAAATTTATATTTTTATGTTATAACGGATTGGATTGGAGGATTGGTGAATTGGATTCATGGATTCAAGTGAAATATAAACATTGGACCAATATGTACATTTTTAAAAATTGTAGGTACAAAAATCTCATATAATTTAGATACCAAAACATAATTGTTCAATGATTTTACATTTTAAATTTGCGGTATCAAAATATAAAATGTACATTATAGTGACTAAGTTGTAATTGAATTAAATTTGGGGTATCAAAATGTAAAATGTATAGCCGCACAATCAGCTGGTGAGTTTAGGGAACAGTAAACTCACTTCTCCTTTATATATATTAACTAGGTGGCGATGCCGCGACTTGTCGCGGGGCGGAGATTGCCTATTGACATGTATTATGTGGTCCGTCATGGTGTTTTGTTAGTCTTATTAGCCTTAAATTAATTTGTGTTAGTAGTTTTAATATTGACTTGACAATAGATATATGGCGGTGAACATATAATTTAATTTTTTTGAAAATTGTGGCTAATAAATGATGTTTACCTAAACCCAACTAGACATCATTGATTATGGGTAGGGTATGAGTGACGTATATAAAGGTTTGAAAGTTTGTAGATAGGTTTGGTAGGGTATGAATATTTACTTTCATAATCCAAATGTGTATGAGTTAGGTATAGATACCTATTTATTCGAGGGTGTTTTAATTACACATACAAAAATTAGATCTATTTGTAGAACTTCAAAAGTTCAGGTACTAAGATGTGATACACAAAAATTTTAGGTACTAAAATGTAGTGTTCCATAAATATTTTGAGAACTTATATGCAAAAAAAATAAATTTAGGTTATAAATCTAAAGCTCTATTAAGTTTAGGTACACAACTGTAATTTACATATTTGAGGCTTAGTTTCTTTTATGCTTATGTATTTAAGATGATAATTATTTGATTTTTTTATAAAAAATAGAAAAAATATTAATTTTATATGTATAATTGTTGAAAATTCCATGTATAATTGTTGAAAATTCTAGCCCGATGAAAAAAAAAACTCTTGAAAGAAGCAAAAGGAATATAAACTAGAACTCGCTTAAAATTTCATGCCTTCAAATACTATATATATGTGTTTTTAATTGGATTCGACATTGAGCTGAAAAGGTTAGTAGTTGATGGTTCAATTATTAATTCTCTAGACTTTTGGTCAGTCGTGTATGGACTTGTTTATACTTGTGATTAAAATACATAAAAATAGTATACTAATTAGGGTTAGACGTAAAAGGCAAAGAAAGAAATAAAGAAAGGATTATGGAAGGCAATTGAAAAATGAAACGAAAGGGGAAGTAGATGATGGAAAGGTTTTGATCAATTCTTTTAGTTGCCATTCAATACAACAGTCAACCCTTTTTACCGTAGCAATTTATTGACACTTGCTTATGTAGTTGTCGCATATTTTTGTTACACTTAGTTAGTAGAAGTTTGTTTAGTACCCCGTAAATGTACTAAATGATTTTCTTTCTTGCAATATTTTAGAAGCGTCACTCTTTTATCATTTTTTTAATGTTTCACGTAATGAGCAAATATAAAATAGTTGAATCTTCTCTTACAGTTAGTGATACAACATCTTGTATGGTATAAACTAAATTTATACTTTTATCTAATGGTGGATTGGATTCATGAATTTTTTTTCCAAGGCAAGCCCAAAGGGGATGGGACAAAGACTCGACACGATTACAAGATCGACTAAAATACTGAGCGTTAGTCCGTATGCAACCAGACTACCGATGAAAGAGCATGTAAAGCCACTACTTGGGCAACTCTAAAGAAGCTCTGAGGAGCAAAGACACGACACTGACGGGAAAAAAAAAACAAAATAAAAACAAAAATCCAACATCTCCAAGGTAGTCCCGCCAGCAAGTGTATTTTCCTTCGACGGAGTATACCGGATGACCAGTGTCGAGTTTCCACAAAAAGTTACAACAAAGATGTAAACATTGGACCAATATGTAAAAGTAAAAAATTGTAGGTACAAAAATCACATAAAATTTAGATACAAAAACATAATTGGTCAATGATTTTACATTAAAATTAAATTTGGAGTATCAAAATGTAAAATATAATTCTAATGTAATTTAATTAAATTTGAGGTATCCCGTAACCTCACTTCAACTTTATATATATTAACAATGCAACACAAAAATGCAACACAAAGTTACAACTTCAAAAGAGAAACTTACAGCTATGAATTTTGTGAAGATGAAAAAGTGATAAATGAATAAACATCAGCATTAAAAGAGAAAAGGTAAAAAAAAACCAATACATGGTAGCAAAATGAGTATAAGCAAAATATTAAGGAGCATCATAGCAAAATATTAGGCAATAATAACTTCATTTTCACTTTATATATACTAGCATTGGGCCCCGCCCGTTGGTCGGGGTTATTAATAACTTGCAGCACAATCTAGAGATTATGGTTATGGTTAACCATTTTATTGATTAAAAAATTTATTTTGTGGAAAACAACAAACACAAATAGTATCTATATACTATTGCTATAACCTGATAAAAAAATTCATTTTAGATTTCAGTTCGATGAAGCATAATATTAACCAATAAGTAGTTGGTTTAATATAATCATCTATTGATATAATTATACAAAAGTCTAATCCTTCAAATTGATCTGCAAAGAGAGACACAAACATGGTAAAAAGAAGAAAAAACACCAACAAACATATTGTAAAAAAACAGCAAACCTTCTCACGGCCTTTTCATTTGTAGCATACAAAATGGCTAAATTCTTCAATAGTTGCGGTGCCATTTTTTTCTTGATTAATATGGTCGTAACTCGAAAATATTTTCCCGTCTCGAAACTCAAAATTTATAGGCTCGCTGCTCCGGTAGACCCATGCTCCTAAGAGCCGAAAACGGAGAACTCCTAGAGATTGTGTTTTCTTTCAGTCTGGTGATAATTGTCGACTATCAAGCTAGAATATAGTGCGAGCAATGACGAAAAACCGGTTAGACCCACAACCATTTGCATATCCAAAACTCTGGATATATAGGTTCGACGCTCAGATAATCCTAGACCCATATTCCTAGGAACTAAAAAATTGAAAAAACCCAACTTCTATTGATAAGTAATTTGATCATCTATTGATAGTATTTTTTATTACTTATGAATTGCGAATAAATTTGTACTTTCTTGTTATTTTATTCACAATTAAACATCAAAGGTAGATCGTTTGAAAAAAAATTGCAAACTTATTTTTAAAAAGTGCCAACTTATTATTGAAATTGTGTTACTACTTTTATCAATTATGTATTGTGAAATAAGATTTATTTTCATATTTAATTCAATATTATTTTGTATTGTGATTGTTTTGGTGATTATCAAATTTTCAGCATTGGAAATTTTGATTTTTTGGCCAAATATTTATTTTCAATCATCAAGTAAGACTTTCCGTAATTACATCAACCTATAACTACTATTTAATTAATCATAGCTATCTTTCCTAAATTATGTTTAACAATAATGAGCAATTCTTATTATAAAAATAAGAAAAGAGGAAGGATAAATAATAACTTTTTAGCATAAATCTCTTAGTAATTATTAATTACCATTAAAAACAAAAATCTATTTACCTCCCTCAAATTGTCGTCTACCTCATCTCACTCTACAGAAAAAGGATCCCTCTCTCCCTTCTTTTATCTCTTCTTCCTCACACAAAATTCCTAGATCTTGCTCCTCATCTCACTCTACAGAAAAAGGATCCCTCTCTCCCTTCTTTTCTCTCTTCTTCCTCACACAAAATTCCTAGATCTTGCTCCTTATTCCTTATACCCTTCATTATTCCGGAACAGAAAGGATCTCATTTCTTCCCTCCCTCTATTCTTCTTTCTCGCGAACTCCCTTCACTAACTCCTTCTTTCTCTTTTCTGAAATCTCTTTCAATTCGGAAGAAAGAGAGCCAATCTCGCTTTCTTCTTCCTCTCCCTTCCTAACCGGCCAAGAAACAACTTGGATCAACCCAATCAGACATGGAGAGCTCCGATCAAAGTAAGATCGAGACATGCATGTGTCTTTCCTTTTGTTTTTGGTATTTTTTTTGTTATAATTGAGTTTTTTTTTCTAGTTTTGGAGTCCAAAACGTGGAGGAAATGGGAACCTAGAGTTGGCCGGCGATGTCATCGCCGACGATCAACGGTGGCCCAACACTGTTACTTTAACTGGGTGATGCTTTTTGGGATTCATTCTTCTGATTTTTTTTCCCTCTTTGAAATCCTTTGATTCTGACTGTGTTCTTTCTTTTGCAGGTGAGGAATTTTCTGATTTTGTTGAAAGAAGAACGAAGAAGAAAAAGAAGAGAGAGAGGAGAGAGTTTATGGGGAAAAAAGTAAAATAAGTCCCCTCCTTATATTTTCTCCGATTTGTAGGGATCGGTTGTTGGAAAAGAGAGGGCGAAGAAGAGAGGATTCAAAATTGTCAATAAAGCCCTTCCGCACTGTGCGGCCGTTCCAGCAGAGGCTGATGTGCAAATGCTGTTTTTTGACATTGGCTTATAGTATTTTGTAGATTAATAATAAGCTAAAGAAAAATTATCTAGTTTCCAGTGTCGTAGACCTGTTAATCAATAACGGAGATAAGAAAATGGGAGAATGGAGCAATGGAATTGGAATGGACAGAGAGACGGTTTAGAAATTAGGCATCGACGAAAAAGTTATGATTTAGAGAGAGAGAGGTTAGAAATGAAGGAAAAAAATGGCACCATTTGTTTATGATTGATTCTTAATAGGTTTTAAGAAGATAAGAGAGGGTAGTAGGAGAATGACTATGAATAGTCTACCAATTGGCAATTTAACTCATCAAGGAGTGCCAGGACCCTGTGCATCCCGTACGCGTTATTGCAGTCCTCGATTCGACGAAGACTAGTCTAAGATTGGTTGGTTAATATTGCCTATACATACAAAGAAAGGAATAGAGTCGCAGACTGATTCTCGAAGCACCATATTTCTCATCTATCCCTAAGTTACGCTTTATGAACTTATTAAACCGCCTCGGGATCTAGGAAGATACTTACCATTGTTAATTTGGTCACGTATTAATTATACTTAATATAGAGGTTCACAGTTCTTGTCGTAGCTAAGAATTTTAGAATGGATGGTTTTCTTTTTATGAATGAAAGAATGAAGTTTGGAGGACTTCAATTTCAGCTCACCTATATATGCAATAATCTACCACAACTGCAGCAAAGACTGCTTCTTCTCTCTGATGATCCATCTCCCCAAAACGGAAAAACTTTGTGACAGCAAATGGCATATAAATAAATTATGTATATAAAAATTTATGGCTATGTATTTATAATATTTGGCCTACATATTAATATGACTACTTAGTTAATAATAATTCTTATAAGAACAAAGTTATTAGCGGTTGGACTAGCAGAACCATCAAACTAGTTACAAAAATGGTTCGATTCATTTGTTAGGACAGCTAGGATGAATCGAACCATTTTTAACGCTTTGATTTAGAATCAGATGAACCACCCGAATTCGACTGGTTCACTATTTTAATCACAATAATTATGTCAAAATGATGTCAATCATCACTTATGGCGTGATGAACAATAACGCACATGAATCTGCACAAAAACCATTAAAGATTTACTTTAATTTGAAGGATTTAGAGTTTAGAGATTTAGGGTTAGGGTTAGGGTTTACAATTTGGGATTTAGAGATAGAACTCAAAACTGGAGGTCTAGAGCTTAGGGTAATCCGCTAATTAGTTGTTATCATATATTATATCATCATATTACACTAATTCTACAAATAAAAATTTAAAATCCGACACCTTAAGACTAGTTTTTAAGTTGGGTACATTGAACGCACTCATTTTTGTGAGTGCACCGAAGCAGTTACCATATATATAGGCAAAGTAACTTCCAACTCTTTCAGCAACCATCTCAACCAAATTACTTCACTGAATGTCGTTGCCATGGCCCTATACTTGGCCTCAGCTGAAGAATGCCCTACTACTGACTACTTCTTGGTTCTCCATGTAATAGGACTACTGCCAAGATGGATAAAGTACCCTGACGTAAAGTGGCGAGTTTCTTGACAACCTCCCCAATCTACATCAGTGAGACTTAACGAGCTACTCAATGGAAAAAACAAACCTCATCCCGGAGCATGCTTCAAGTAACGAAGGACTGTATAGGGTGCCAAGACATGTTGTTGACATGGAGAGTGGACGACTTGTCTGAGGACGTTCACTGCATATGCTATGTCTGTTCGTGTCATTGTCAGATAAAGGAGTCGGCCAACCAGCCAACGATTGTCAAATAAGTGAAAATTTTAATTATACAAATGTTGTTTTTTTTTCAAAATTTTTTTTTTATGAAGTAGGGTATAATAGCGTTTCTATTCCATGTTTTTTTGGACGATAGTGTACTGTATTTTTTTTTAATGGCGATATTATTAGAAACTAAATAAAGAAAGTACAAGGTTCAGGAGGACTGAACCCTGAACCTGGGAAGACTAATACAGGAAAAAACCAGAAAAAGAGAAGAAAGGAAGCAACAAACAAAAACCCGAAGCACAAATAGTCTAGCCAGGCGGACCAGGCCGTCTCCGCCAAAACAGAAAAAGGAAAAGAGAAAAAAAAGAAGGAAAAAGATATCAGAGGTGAGAAAAAACATCCACAATCCAACTCGCGGCAAGGTCTTTGTCAATTTTGGAGATCGAGGGCTGTAAGCCAGGAGATGACCACACGAATAGATTTCTGAGCAATAGCTTTAGGAGAGCAGTGGAAGTTCCTAAAGACCAAAAAACGGCATGACGAATGCAAAGGTTGAACCATTCATCAATAGAGTTGGGAGTCGATGATGATAGGTTGTTGAACACAGCAGAGACATCGCCATCCAGGCTTCCGATTAAGCTCTTAGTCCTTTCAATGCAGCTCCAAACTTCCTGAACAAAAGAACACCTGACGATAGTGTACTGTATTTATAAACTCAATTAGATAGCTACTGCAATCTAACATCAATTCTCTGATAAATACTGACCTGACACATAAACATAATTCATACAAATGATCAATGTAAGGAAATTAATTGCACACAATGTTGTAGAGTTCTCTATAACCTCTAATTGGCATCTACACTACGAGTTCATTCTAACAGGACAAAAATTCATAGCTTCCATAATCACTACAACATGAGTTCTCGTTCTTAATCAAGTTGAAGAATGGGTAGCCAAAAGCAACTAAGTAGTAGCCAAAGCTACATATCTGCTTTCTTCGCATTGGTAAAAGAAAACAACAAACAGTTACCCATTTATCAAAACCCTCTGACTGGCGTCGTTTTGTTGTTTTTGACCATCCATCCTTCTTGTTGCAGTTTCTCCTTCTAACCTTCCTCGACATCATCATCCTCCTCGTCCGATAGCAAAGCTTGAAATCTGTTGGTGCGGGCAATATTATGATCAGTAGGATGTTGAGGGTTCCTGATTGCTCTCTTTGGCAACTTCCAATGCTCTGATCCCGGAAGTAGGCGCTCCCGTTTCCAAGCCTTTTTCTTCTCTATATGTCTGTCGTGTAGCTTAGAAATATCCCTGCATGGTAGTGGTAGATATTAGGACTGTTCGGATGGTGTGGTTATCGTGATAATCGTTTTTAACCGGTTGTATTATGGTGAGTTGGTTTCGTTAATTTGAATAATTGATTTGGTTAAAAAATGTAGCTTATTTGGTTTAGCAGGTTTGGTTTCAATCGCTGTAACAAATCAAACCAATTAAATAATTCATCATATATCTAATATATTATTTTCTTGTACTAATTATTTTGTATAATCACTCAAAGTCAAGCACTCCTCCCTTTTGGATCCATAAAAAAAAACCATTATTGTACCTATATTGTACTGTTCTTATAATAAGAGACAACCACATATAACACATAATTTAAATAAATCTCATACATTATATATGTTGGAGTAAAAACTGAAAGGGAAGGGATTTTTATTCCTTTGACAATTACTAAGATCATATCAAGGCAATTCACGCGCTGACGCCCCCAATTTCTTAACCCTATTATCATTTTGCATATATTTTTGTTAGGTGAATACTTCTAGTAATTGTAATATAATTTTATCAGTTGCAAGTATTTATATTAAGGGTTAACTATGTGCTAATACTTATACTTCATTATTTATATAGTTACTAGATTAACGCATTATCGGAATATATATTTTCTCACCTAATGATAATGCCATGTTATATTGGTTAGCTCGGTTAATAAATTAACCAAACAGTTAAACTTAATCTTGTTGTTGTATTAGTTTAACCTTAATTAGTTTGGTGATTACTACGGTAATAATTTGAACACCCTAATATATATATATATATGGTGGCGTCTTCAGTGCACTCACTTTTTTGGGTGCATTCAGTGCACTCGCTTCATAATCATCATTTTAAACATGAGATTTATGTCAAAATGATATCAATCATCACTTATGATGTGATGAACAATAACGCACATGAATTTGCACAAAAACCATGAAAGATTTGCTTTAATTTGAAGGATTTAGAGTTTAAAGATCTAGGGTTAGGGTTAGGGTTTACAGTTTGGGGTTTAGGGATAGAACTCAAAATTGGAGGTCTAGGGCTTAGGGTAATCCGCTAATTAGTTGTTATCATATGTTCTATCATCATATTATACTAATTCTACAAATTAAAATTCAAAATCCGACTCCTTAAGAATAGTTTTTGAGTTGGGTGCATTGAACGCACTCATTTTTGTGAGTGCGCCGAAGTAGTCACCACATATATATATATATATATGCCATTATATATGTAGCATTCACCGAGAGAAGAGTTGGTGTTAATAATAACAATAGAGATGGCATGCGATAATAACATACTAGGAAGTCCAGTTAGTGAATTACCAGGTCATAGGAAGGAACCAGAAAGAGGGATGCGTCCTGTAGCATATACCGTCGTCCCGACGACGAAGAGCAAAGCTCTCGAACTTTTGATTAACAAGATCGAACACGCCATTCCAGTTGAACCAATACTCCAAGGGCCGGGCATGATCCAACGCGTAGTAGATGTGGTCGCCCTTCACCCCGCCAGCACAAGACGGGACCGAGAAAGACTCGTGCGGCCCTATGAACACACCATATCCATCCAAGCTCCTCACTTCTTCCCAATAGTAACTAGCAACACCGCCATCGCCGCCGTCGTCGTCACCCGATCCTCCTCCTCCTTGTAGCTTGAAGACCCGGGGAAGGATGGATTCCAGCCGGTCCTCGCTTAGGACGACGAGGAGCTGGCCGTTGAGCTCACACAAGTGGCAAAACCTCCACATCGTCACCTCGTACATGGCTTCGGAGAAGGTGAATGACCTCGTGAGAGCCCAAGGAGTAGCGGACGTTATATCAAATACGAGGACACGGCCGTAATTCTCCACCACGTAGAGGTTGCCTCCGAAGCACACTGCATCCTCGGGGTAATCGACGAAACTAGAATCAATGTTGTCGCCCACGAATCCCCAACCACCACGACCTTGTCCTGATCCTCCTCCTGCTTTGCACCACTTTACTCTCCCACCCCATCCAGGAATGATGAACACGTGGCATTCTTCGTCGTCAGGGGAAGAGGAGATGATGGCTTTGGAGATGCTTCCTCCGAGGGGAGGGAGAGGGACGGAGGCGCCCGTGAACGGGTTTAGGAGGTACAGTTCCAGCTGCGGGTGGTGACCTCCTGGGAGGGTGCGGAGGATCCATCCGTTTTTGGAATCCAAGCAACGAGCAGATGATTCGGATGAAGATGTGTTTATACGACTAAACCAATTATCATCGTACCATAATGAGGATTGGTCTTCATCGTTGTCGTCATCATCATCGTAGTAAGGCGGGGGTGGTTCGAATTCGTCGACTGCATTGCGGTAGAGGTCGAGGTAGCGGTTGCGTTGGCCTAGGGCATCCGATAGCTTGGTCGGAGCAGGGAAGAAGGAGAGAGTGGCGCGTGGGGACGGCGTCTGGGCGGCGGAGGCAGGGGAAATTGCGGCGAGGGGATAGAACTCGTGGATTAGGTCGCTGTTGTAATACGAGTCGAGCGGGGGTTGCGATTCGACGCGTTTGGGTACGAGCAGTCCCGGGAGGCACGATTGGCGGCGGTGGTGGAGTCGGAGGGCGGTGGATCTCCATGATTTGCAGACCCTAGAGAAAGCTAAGAGGCAGGGATAGCTGTCAAAGTGATCCCTCGCTATCTTCTCTATCAACTCCTCCGGCAGTTGAGAGTAATCCATTACGGCCGCCGAGATATGATAGCCACGCAGGAGCTGTACGTATCTAGGGTAGGGTTAGGCTTTCTCTCTTACCCTTTATTTTCCTTGTTTAGTTAGTAGTTACTAGCTGTGGGCCCGGCCTTTTGGCCGAAATAATATTTTTGGTTGCTTTTCAATTATTTTAATCTTTCCTTTATCATTGATATTGTTATTTATAAATTTTCACAATTAATCAGGAGGTGGCTCGATTAATGTAGTAGAGAAAGGCTAGGTAGATGAAGAGATGAAGTTAAATGAATTTTATTGAAGATGTGGTGGAAGTTTGGAGAGACTGAGAGAACTAAAAGCAGTACACTACACTCCCAAATGAGCTATAAATCATTATTCATAAGCAGACATATATATTTGTCGAACACTTTTAATCCACGCTATACACCAAAGGCCAAATTGGACGTTTTTCTTAACTTTAAGCTAGTTACTTAGCCTTCACGCCAACCTCTTCTCTTCAGTTCAGATCGAGCGCCATTGCTGCAGTATTTACTTTTCCATGCCCTTGAACAACCCCTCTTTTTCTTTGAAATCCCGAACGTCGAATGCATTATCAACCATGAGCAAAAGGCATGCTTACTTTGACCAATCAAAACTAACAATCCGGTAAAAAGAATCTATATCCACAGGAAGCCACTCACACCACTTGTTTCAAGGAAATTCAATGATGAGAGTGATCATTTTATTCCGGAATACACAAAATTGACAAAACAACCCATTGATAAGCATTTCAATTATCCATATATTAATAAACCACTCTCTGGTAAATATCTTAACAACGCATATCTCAGTAAAAACCTACTGATAACGGTTAAGCAAAAAAATAGCATCATACTACTGTCATAAACAATGAGGATAACCAATTTGAGAATTATTCTACCACTGGATAACCTGAAATTTAACATAAATGAAATAAATATAATCTTGTACATGTAAGAAAATCATTACCCGATAACGGCCACTTACCGCATTGATGAAATCCTCTAGAAACTCCAAATTTCTTCCGTTTTAATAAAATCTTAATCATTCTTGTGACTCTATTACGCTTAACTTCAAGGATTTTCAAAGGAACATCATACGTTGTGTAATACCATAAACAACACCATTTCAGCTTGTACCAAAGTTTCTATCTTTTTATAGATATTATAGTGTGTCACTCTTTTATTAGGAACTGAATAGAGCTGCCAATTTCGTGGCAGAAAAGTCTATTTCATCGATAGATTGGTTAATATCAACTGCACAGCGGTTTACTTTTCAATAAGTTGTAATCTCCTATCAATTTTACTATCGGACTATGGGGGAAAAAAACACCACCATGAAATAAAGAGAACAAATTTTCGCTGGACACATAAGTTTGCACGGACTTCTTCAGTTTCAATTTGTAAGTGATGAATGACAGTTTCCTTCCAATGATAAATATTAAATGATTTTTTGTCATTGATTGTGGTGATTCTTGGCTTTTAATGCCTGTATTTTTTTGTTAAATTTTATTTTTTCTCCAAGATTTGTAGAATTGTCTTATATACTCAACTTTTTCCCATACACCTCAATTGCAAGGGGAAAAAACCAAAACATCCTTGCATACTTTTACTGATAAAAAATTTCAGTCTTTCATTCGATCGCTAATCTTAATAACTTTTCTTCTACGATCATATCATAAGTTCGATAAAAACCCGAATAAATGATGAAAAATATATGAACATATGTATTAAATATACTCAATATAGGAAAATGTATTTGGAATAAATTAGATTTGCCTAGGTCAAATCTCTACTCAAGACAATTAGTCAGAACATAATAACAACACTAAGCATCATTTTTATTTGGAACGGGCAACTTTCTAAACCCATCACTCAAACTAGAGGAGTCCGACAGGAAGACCCCCTCTCTTGAGAGGCTTAGTGCACGGATGGGGGAAAGCAATGCCACGATAGACGAACTCATCCCTACTAATTTGTTTTGTGTATGGAACGATTGGCTCACCGTATCGAGCAAGCAGTTGATGAAAAACAATAGAAGCCTATCTCTCTTTCTCCTAATGGACCTAAACTGTCTCATCTTTTTTTCGCAGATGACCTCATACTGTTTGCAGAAGCGGAACACAATCAAATAGAGGTCATTAGAAGATGCCTGGATGATTTTTGCACAAGTTCTAGCCAAAAAGTGAATCTTTCGAAGTCGGCCATGATTGTTTCGGCCAACAGTAGCCGCAAGAGAGCTCAACAACTCAGCAACAGAGCAAACATTCCTTTAACCAACGACTTGGGCAAATATTTGGGAATTAATGTCATTAACGGGCGGGTGACGAAAGCCAGATACATAGAAATTTTCCTAAGGATCCAACAAAAGCTGGCAAAGTGGAAAACTCACCACCTCTCGCTGGCTGCCCGGATTACTCTGGTGAGATCAGTTTCATCATCAATGTCTGTTTACCTGATGTTTTCAGAATCACTTCCAGCTTCTGTTTGCAATTCTTTGGACATGATCAACCGTCAGTTCGTGTGGGGAGAAGAGGAGGGGCAAACTAAGTTCCATCCCATAGCCTGGGAACAATTAACTCTCCCTCGGAGTGAGGGAGGTGTGGGGATCAGGCCGACTAGAATAGCTAACCAGGCTATGATAGCTAAAGGAAGTTGGAGATTAGCAACGAATGATCACACGCTATGGACTAAGGTTTTGAAAAACAAATATGGCCGGTCAAAGGAAGGCTTGGAGACTCCTGCAAAAAAAAAAAAAAAAAAGGGGAAGTTCTTTTGCTTGGCGAAGTTTCGCCTCTGTTTTAAATGTAGTTAAAAAAAGTATGCCTTTAATATATCGAATGGGCGAATCGCTAAGTTCTGGATGGACCCGTGGGTTTTGCAGGTCCCCCTCGCTGAACTTGCTACGGCAGAGATCGATGAAGACAAGCAAAACTGTCGAGTGGTGGACTATTGGGATGAGGAGCTCGGATGGAAAGTGGAGGAATTTGAATCCTTGCTGTCGACCACTATCATTGATCGGATCCGGGCTATGATGGTGGATCCTCTTGCTACGGGTGATGATCGGCCAATCTGGAGCTTGACTTCTAATGGAAAATTCACTGCAAGTTCTGCGTATAGTGCGCTTGTCCCTACAAATGCAGAGCAGTAGTCCTACTGGAAAAGAATATGGAAACTGCAAGTGCCGGAACGAGTGCGAATGTTTGTTTGGATGACAGCTAAAAGGAAGTTGACAACTAATGCTCTCCGAAAAATTAGCCATCTCACTCTAGATGACTCCTGCCCGAACTGTGAAGGGGTTCCTGAGGGGCACTTACACTGCCTGAGAGATTTTCAAGGGGTGAAGATGATTTGGAGCAAAGTAGTTCCCAGTTCTCGCCATTCAGCCTTTTTCAATTCTAGCTTTGAAGATTGGATTTCCACTAATATTGCAGATGACTCTCTGGGTAATTGGAGAGGAAGTTGGGCGGCTTACTTCTGTTTGGTGATGTGGTACGTTTGGAAGACTCGCAATGACAAGGCCTTTAACGGAATTCACATCGCCATGTCAACACGTCAGAACTACGTCACTGCCAAGGCTACCGAGTGGGCGAAAGTCTGGGAATCAGCGAACTCAAACCTTGAACTCTGCTCTAAGCCAGCAAGGGTCGAAACTCTGATAGGCTGGACGGCGCCGGCTACCGGCTGGTGGAAAGTGAACACGGATGGTGCTGCCCAAAGCAATCCTGGTATGGCCACTGCAGGGGGAGTCATTCGCAATTGCTATGGGGATTGGATTGGCGGTTTCTGCAGCAAGCTTGGAACCGGTTCGGCTGCTAGCTGAGTTGTGGGGAATCATGCAAGGACTCAATTTGGCGTGGCGAAAGGGAGCTCAATTCCTTATTCTGGAGTCGGATTCTAAGTTAGCTCTTGACCTGATCAAGCAACGTACGGATTCTGTTCATCCTTATTCGACGATCCTTGGATCTATTCGTCGTTTGATAGCTCAAAGTTGGGTGGTTCAACTAGTTCATACGTACAGGGAAGGGAATAGAGTCGCGGACTGGCTCTCGAAGCACAGTCTCGTCTATCCCTTCGGTACGTATGAGTTGGAAGAGCCTCCGACTGAGTTAAGTAGAATCCTTCAAGAAGACACTCAGGGGGTCTGCTTCCCAAGACAGGTGGTGGAGAATGAATAGCTTCATTCATTGACTTCCGATTTGGCTTCTGGTCTTCCTGTTCAGGTGCTTTGTTTGTAATTTTTTGATCTGCGGGCGCGGTTTTGTTTGTTTCTATGTTGGGATGGCCTTCTCAATCGCCTGAACTATCCTTTTGTATCCTGAGCAATTCCCTTGTGATGCTCGTGTACCCGGCCCCTGGCTAATTTATTAGCTTCCATTCAATTAAAAAAAAAGAGTCAAAAGACAAACTGCAATTAATACTATCGAGTTTGACTAAATGGGTACAGAATTTATTAAATAAAATTGTTAAACTTCATATAACAATGGTCACAATATGAAATATAAAATCATATAGTAAAAATCATTGTTACAAGATATTTTACAATAAGCTTATTTTTAATGAAATTTTAATTACACCACGGCATAGGCAATCTGATGGGTTGGAGCAGTGTCAATCCATTTAAAAAAAACGTACGTACTAGCCGGTTGCTTTAGAGGGTTCACTTGTTTGTCTTGCTTGCATGCCCTGGTTGGAGCAATTGGTTGCTTTCCAGCTTACACGATATTTATCACCTAAATTATAATCTTTTAAAATGAGGTAAACCGTTGTTGTCAAGGTTGCTAAAAATACTCCTCCTTTCTGAATCTCTGTTTCTCTGTAGTTAATCTCAATCTAATAGTTAAAAAGTTGAAATACAACTACTTATTTGAACTGATATTTTTCGCTATAATGCTTTCAAGTTTAATTAGGAATTTTTTGCTATAATGCTTTCAAGCTATAATTTTTGAGTTATTGTTTCTTTATTTTTTTTACTGGGCCAAATTGTTTTCTTTGCACTTGAATTACTTACAAATACAATGCATGCCTCTGCACTAATACGAAACCTATACAGAAACCCCAACTGAGTGATTGAGAAAGCCGAATTTTTTCTCTCATTTAGCGAGAGTCTCGGAGTGGCGGAGCTAGGGTTTTCCTAGGTTTCCGAGGTGAAAAAGGCTATT